CAGGGAAAGATATTTTTATAAAATATTCTCATATTTTCATTCGAATATTTGTGAATACCTGACACTTACCTTGTCAAGACCTTTTAATAAATTGACTACTTTAACATGATTTACGACCGTTGCGCCGTGTCTTGAAGCTGTTAGAGCAATGGCCAGATTCATCCTAGCATCATCTTGTTGGCCTGTCAAATAGCACATTTATTCAAGAGACAGATAGCTCGTCTATATAAAAATTGTAAAAGAGATAAAAAGAGAGATAACAAGATGGCTACCGTCATAATAGACAATAGCTCCCGTTAGTTTGTCGCCTTTCAGCATTGGAAAAAGTTCCAGAGCGTTCGATTTACTCAAATAATACGATGATTTGACGGTTTTGCTACCCGCTACCAGATCGTACATCTTAATGCCAAACCAGTAATAAGGAATTTGCCACCATCTGACAAAAATAGTAGAAATATATGTGAAAAAGAACATGCAGCATCAGAATTATTTATACTCATTCATAAACGTACGTGTAAACAGGCAGCATAATAGGCAATGGATGTGCTAGATATGGTGCGTTTTTCAGCATTGATGCACGTTCATGAAGTGCTTCTTTCACCATTCTATATTGCTCGATGTCCACTTGCATGATCGCTTTTTGCAGATATCGTACGCCACCGTGGATTAACTTCGTGCTGCGGGATGATGTGCCAGATGCAAAGTCATCGGCTTCAACTAACGCAGTTTTTAGACCTTCGAAAAAAAGTGGAAGTATATGGCTTCACTTGAGCAAGCAAAAAAAGAAGACATTTAGCGATCGTACCTCGTGTGCAAGCGTCTAGAGCACATCCTGCTCCCGTTGCACCACCTCCGATTATTAAAACGTCGTAGTCTTGCGATTTTAAAGTTTTTACTTGATCTTCTCGTGTTGGTAAAGTCCTTCGAGGCGGTCTTGGTTTCCACTTCATTTCAGCGTGTACCTACAATCAAGTATATAGATACTTTATTTAATTTTTTCATTAAAATGTCATTTGTTATAACATATAATTTTAAAAAATCGTTTTAATTGCTTGAAAAAAAAAGAAAAAAAAGAAAGAAACAATATTTTTAAAGAAAAAAAGGAAAAATGTTCTTAAAGAAACATATATTTATTTCTTTACACTCAATTATTATACAAAAATTGCATTTTAAAATTAATATTGCAATATTTTAATGATTCAAAATCTAAATTTTATTTCTTGGAAAACTTTTCCAAGTTGTATCATTGTTACATCAAATGAGTAATAAGTGTATATGATATATCAGATATCTCAACAGGACACATCACATTATATAACATATAATAATAAGTGGACGTGCATGCGGAATCTTTGAAGAATCTCAGCATCTTAGATCTCTTGAAGCATCTCATGATCATGTCTGATTAAGTTGTATACTGACCGTGGTATCTGGCAAGAGGAAGTACGAAGTAAGAGTACCAGCACCTACAGCACTTGCTCCAGCAACAAACCATCTGAGCGACGCCATCGTCTATCACTAGTTCCTCTCGATTTTTTTGAGGAAATCTGAAATCCAGAAAAGAGCATGATGATATAATTATGAATACAAAATCTAGGCGATAGAATTCTCTCTCTCTCTCTCTCTCTCTCTCTCTCTCTCTCTCTCTTATATCTAAAATTATATATTATATAATATATAATTTATACAATTAAGAAATATGTAATATAAATAAAAAAAAGCTGAGGAATAAATTGACATTTTCTTTTTTATATAAATGTGAAGTAAATGCTGTTAAATGCTTATTAAATACTTGGAGCAAGTACGTTTTTTTTCATCAAAGTACAAAATGCTAAAAAGAAAATATCTTAATTTCAAAAAAAATAAAAGAAAAATATCCAAGATAATGATGTTGTTTAAATGATACTCATTCAGCTTAATTTTGGAATGGTAAATTTTAAATTAAGCTTGCTTAATAAAAATTTATAAAAAACAAGAAAATATATTGTAGTTGTGGAAATTTTTGATAACTGATTTGATTTCGATCATCTCGCTGAAAGACACCCTTCCTCCGTTTTTTTTTTCGAACTTTTAGCAGCTTTTAACAGTAAGTTGAAAATAAAAAGATAAAGAATAATTCTAAAGCATAGTAAAATAATTAACATTAAAAATGCCAAAACATTAATTAAAAATATTGGTTACATTCAATAGAAAAAAAACTTTGCAACTATTGTTAAGATTTTTTTGGTTCGATTGGTTTATACATTTTGATCTACACTATTAAATTTATAGTGTCAAATTATATTCAATTTGAATTATTTTTAATCATATCTAAAGTATCAAATTTAATTCAAGTTTTATTATTTACTAAATTAATATAAATATTGTTTTCTTTAAAATTACCCACAGAAATAAATTTACATTTTGACACACATAGAAGTAAAAGATAACAGAATGTTTATTAATTCAAAAGAGATCGGGTTGCTCCTTTGATTTCTAACAGTGTAATAAGCAAACTAAAAGTAAAAATCAATTATATAAAATTGTATAATAGTTGCAAAGCTGTTTTTTTTTTATCAGTTGAGAAAGATCTAAACTGGTGCATTTTATAGTCTTATATGCTGCGCATTCAACATACGCAATCTATAAATAATTTAAAGATTGTGCATTGTGTCGTGAAATACTCGCAACGCAAAGTGGGATTCATTATTATTATCACTAGCATAATGACAAGTGATCTGTTTAATGACCCTGATAAGATGCCGAAAACCGAAACATATGGGATTGCGTGATATTCAACGTGATTACGACCATGCGGGGGAAGACGATAAAGGCACAATCATGTAATCGACTCGTGCATAGGAATCCGGGTATCGACAGTTGGTGACTGTCTGGCGGGATGCTATCTTGATCTTTAAATCTCGTCTCTATGTATTATAGGCATGAATCATACAGACCTGAAAAAAAGGAATAAAATGGTAATACTATTGGTATGATTCATGTTTCCGGCAGATAACGTATCGTTACGAAATTCTTATCTTTCCACGTGGAGAACTCGATGGCGGTCGAGCTATAGCCGGCGATTCGGGCTCGTTTGGGAAAGGGAGCTCTTACAAGACAAAGCACCTTGAAACGCGCAGACATAACGTATAACATGAGAACACAATGCTAGGCGGGATGTCGCAAGGTCAGGTTAAAATAGCGCCTGCGAGCGCTCACGGCGGTATGTCCGTGCCAAGTTTATCAAATGAAATGTCACTTGCATTCCCCATTACGCATAACGCATTATTTATCTTACGCGTTATTCAATCCTTGTCTCGAGGCTCTCATGTTATAAGACTTATGATTCAGCGTTGTCGTTTCCAGACGTTTTTATAATCGAATATATTTTTAGTCGAATGTAAGTTGACTGTCTCGAGAGAGGATTCGGGAGGAAAATCGTTCACTAAAAAATGACATTGCTAGTTGATATCGAAATGGCAAGGCAATTGGGAAACCGGAGTCTAAATTGGCAACCGGTTTTTGACGAATGACATACTCACTGCGAGCTAAAGAGACGCAACTTTCACTCACGTCAAACGGATAGCCTGACACTAGGATTCCGCGTGGCGCATTATCTTCAATTTTCTTCCTGCTGCCTGCAGATACTCTCACCAGACAAACCCACAACCGACGGCCAATGTCGACCAATGTCGACTGAGCTGCAACTCGACGACGATCGTCAAAATATAATAGCTATAGAGCGACCGTTCGTCATGTTTCCGCTGCTGACCAATAGAGAGTGTCAATTAATGAACTGTCGTATCGGCAGCAGATTTTTACGTAGAGATCTCTTCGTTAGCGATCTATGAATATGTCGATTCGTCATGTCGATCAATTGGAATTCGAGTCAAGAACGAGGGCATACAATATCCATCAAATTCTTTATCTTTTTCTAATATTAATTTCTTCCAATATAAATTAGCTTCTCGTCTGTTTTTATCAATGCAGATTACTCGAATCTTGGTTTATTATCTTTTTTTAGAAGAGAAATTCTAAGAATTAATTCTATTTCAATGTAGATTAACTTTAATCTCAATTTAATTTTGCATTTTTTTCTAGTTCTAAAAATTATATAAAGTACAAACAAAATAAAGTAAATTAATCTATATATTGATAGAACATTCTTAGAATTGGAAAGAAATAAAAAACTAGCAAACTGAAATTAAAGTTAAAGTTCTACTTTGATAAAAATATGCACAAGGATAACTTCGATGAGACTTCGATTAACTTAATCAGCGATTAATTTGCTAATATCTGTATTATTTTGTCAAATGTGAATAGAATTATTTAATATATGGAAAAAATTGAAGACAAATATTATATATCAATGAAAAAAATTTTTTATATTTCTAAAAAATTTTCAATTTTAAATATAAATAAAGATTTCTGAAAAAAATACCTTCAACTTCAGATTTGTTAAATTTTCTTTGAAAATTATACGAGACATAGAATATTTCAAAATTTACACATGTATATAAAAATGATAAAATTCTGGAAATTTCAGAAAAATTATATAAAGAATTCTAAGAAAAACTTTCAAGGGTGATTGGAAATTTTTCTCGAAGCAATTCTGCCGGTTGAATTAATCATCGATCAAGTTAATTAAAGTCACCTACAGGTTCGCAATATCGTATAAATACATATCACGTTGAAACAAAATAATACTCTTTGTTATTTAACAGCAAATATCTGTACAAGTTAGGCACTCGCGTATGTCACGAATTATCATTCGTGTAAAGGTTCATATACATAAAAGTTTCGTACGCTGGGTGTGTTATATCGATCGAAAACTTAACTCTAGGGACATACATTGTCATGTATAGCTATAACGCCTGTAAAATATATATATTATATATATATTTATC